ATAAAAAGCATTTATACAAAGATGTTAATAACTAACCGAAGATCGACAAGACAAAGGTACCAGGCAGCAACAGATCCGTTACCGTTCTGAACGACGGAAGACGACAGCGCAATGCCATTATAGCATGTCAGACAAAGTTCCACGGGAACGATACCCCGACAATGGGAGGTCACAGTCAGAAATTGGACCATTTCCTCACTCCGAAGGAATTAGCAGGAACTGGCTCATAAGGCCGCAAGGTCGAACTGGAAACAGTTGGACTCTCGTCAAGTCAAGGAAGCGCCAGGTCTCTGAAATTCTGAACCTCTGCGGGTCGAAGTTATTCTGCTCATGCAGGTGTTAGTGTTTTGGAAGAACTCAAATTGGCTGACATCGAATGGAAGGCCGTCAATGGAATGGTTGTAATCTGCCGAAGGAAGTTATAACAGGAGAAAAATTAGACCGTGTAAGGGTTAAGTGCCCAATTTGGAGGAAGAAAGAACATGAGTCCTTCCTAAATTGGGTAAAAATGTTGTGTACAAACTGTTGACTATGAAATTCATCATTTTAATGGGAGATTTCAATGCAGATGTCAGAGCAAACACTAAAAGGTGGAATGGCGCGAAAAGAACGAATCTAGTGACCACAACAATAACGCATAAAGTTGTTCCGGTTGCGTGCAAGCAACGGATGATCTGCTATGATTGCTTTCTTCGAGCATCGAAATGAGCATTGATATAGTTCATATAAAAAGTTTGTGCACAGAAATCGATGATCAACCTGATAATCGTTTCGTCTGACTTAACGACGTACAGTAATGCATAGTGAAGTTAAGAGAGGCGACGAGCAGTCAACCGTTCATCAGCCTGTGAAGACCTAGGGATAGATGCAACCAGAAAATTAACAGCAAAGACTAACTCCTGCAGATATGAAGACAAAACCTGCCAACAACATCACACGGTGGTTTGAATAGATCCCGGAGATGACAACTGAAGTGGAGGCTCTTTAAAAGAGGCTTATTCTGGGCTGCAGCCGAGAATGCTGTAGTTTGAAACAGGTGGGTCTGCAGCCTAGAGGTCAGAAACCAACGTCTTGGTGGAAACGAGAGGTTAAGATGACTTTAGCGAGAAGACCACAACCAAGACGTGACATGAAGGGTATGAGCCCTAGACTCGAATAGAAGAAGAAACGTACAAGGTATCACTGAAAGCAATGGCAAAATCGAAAGCTGACTTCTCGGAAAAATTCGGTGAGATGCTGGAATCGAATTTTCAGCTGGAAAGCACGGTACTATAACAGACCATCACCCGATTCCGAGATGGAAAAAATAACAAGCCAAAAATTCTGAAGGACAAATCCAGATGCTTTTTTACCACGGATAACGACACACGCTGGCGATGGACAGAGTGCTGTGAGGAACTTCTTAACACCGGTCAGCCGCAGAAAGA